TTTATTTGTGATGAAACAGGCCTGTTTTGGAAGAAAATGCCAAACAGGACCTACATTACTCAGGAGGAAAAGGCACTCCCAGGACATAAGCCTATGAAAGACAGGCTTACTCTGTTGATGTGTTCCAATGCTAGTGGTGATTGCAAAGTGAAGCCTTTATTAGTGTATCACTCTGAAACTCCCAGAGCGTTCAGGCAAAAGAATAGCCTCAAGGCTAATTTGTGTGTGCTGTGGAGGGCAAACAGTGAGGCATGGGTCACTAGGGACTTTTTCTATGACTGGTTACACCATGCATTTGCCCCCAATGTGAAAAATTACCTAATTGAAAAGAAATTAGACCTTAAGTGCCTCCTGGTGTTAGACAATGCCCCTGGTCATCCTACAGACTTGGCAGAGCGACTTTCTGGGGACTTGAGCTTCATTAAGGTCAAGTTTTTGCCTCCTAATACCACTCCTCTCCTGCAGCCCATGGACCAGCAGGTTATTGCAAACTTCAAAAAACTGTACACAAAAGTTCTGTTTGAAAGGTGCTTTGTAGTGACCTCAGAAACTCAATTGACTCTAAGAGAGTTTTGGAGAGATCACTTTAATATCCTCAATTGTGTAAACCTTATAGGTAAGGCTTGGGAGGGAGTGACTAAGAGGACCTTGAACTCTGCTTGGAAGAAACTGTGGCCAGAATGTGTAGACAAAAGGGATTTTGAAGGATTTCAGGCTAACCCTGAGAGGCGTATGCCAGTTGAGGAATCAATTGTGGCATTGGGGAAGTCCTTGGGGTTGGAGGTTAGTGGGAAGGATGTGGAAGAGTTGGTGGAGGAAGACAATGAAGAACTAACCACTGATGAACTGCTAGATCATCTTCAACAGCAAGAGGCCAGACCTGAGGTAACTGCTTCAGAGGAGGGGAGAGAGAAATTGAAGAAGTTGCCTACTTCAACGATTAAGGAAATCTGTGCAATGTGGCTTAAAGTGCAAACCTTTATGGATGAAAATCACCCTCAGACAGCTGTTGCAAGCCGTGTTGGCAACCTGTACACTGACAGTGTTGTGAACCACTTTAGGAAAGTCATAAAGGAACGAGAGGTACAGACCTCTATGGACAGATATGTTGTGCGACAGAAGTCCAGTGACTCTCAAGCTGGTCCTAGTGGCATTAAAAGAACAAGGGAAGTAACCCCAGAAATAGAGTTGCTACCTCAAGTCCTAATGGAAGGGGATTCCCCTTCTAAACACTAACACCATCCACACTCTCCCCTCCTCCCATCCCATCAGTCATCACCAGATCTTCAATAAAGGTAAGTGTCATATAACTGTGCATGTCTTCTTCAGTTTGTGTGTATTAAAATTAATATTTCATGTGGTAAAAATTTTTTTTTTTCGTACTTTTGGGTGTCAGGAACGGATTAATTTGATTTCCATTATTTCTTATGGGGAAAATTATTTCGCATAACATTGAGCTCTCATGAACGGATTAATAGTGTTATGCGAGGGTCCACTGTATCTCACTGTATATACACTGAGAGGTTTATATCTTAGTGTATATACACAGGTGTATATCTTAGTGTATATACACAGAGGTGTATATCTTAGTGTATATACACTGAGAGGTGTATATCTCAGTGTAAAAACACTGTGAGGTGTATATCTCAGTGTATATACACTGATAGTTTACATTAATCACTAATTTAGGTAATAAAGTATTCAGTCTTAATGACCCTGGTGTCATAGATAGACTTTAAACCTCATTAACCAACCAACCAGTCTTAACCGTCAGGGTCCAGACCCCTGATCTGAGAATTGCTGTCAATGTCTAAGAATTTAAAAAAGAAATTATTTTTCTTATAAATTTAAAATTTTTATTTTTATGGAGGTAATAAAACAAACACAAAAAAATTGCCATCGGTTCTTACCGAGATATAGAGGCATGAAGTTGATACTCGGTGGGCAGTGGACGGCAACATCGACTACTGCCAACCACTTCGTATTATTTACTTTATTTTTTTGGTACATTTTTCTAATATTTTATTTTCTCCAGTAACTTTTGTGGCTTGTGAGACAAGTATAATGCATAATGTATCCACTTGTTGTATACAACACAGTATAGCCTCTCCTCACTTAGCGATGTACTCGTTTACCGACGACTCACACTTATGACGGGCTCTCTGACCAGTGAATGAATCAGGTGCTTAGGGTTTAAATACCAGGAGCCACATCGTTATACCAATACATTGTTCAACCAGCCAATCACAAGGAAGCCTGACAAAACTGTGAAGCGATGTGGTACACTTGTGAAGCAGATTTGACAGACTTGTCTTCACTGCTGGTTGTCACGGTTTGACTGTCTTGTGCTAGCAGTAGGCTCATTGATCACCGTGTCTCATGCTAGCACTAGCCTGATTGATCATTGTCTCATGCTAGCACTAGCCTGATTGACCACTGTGTCTTGTGCTAGCACTAGCCTGATTGATCACTGTGTCTTGTGCTAGCACTAGCCTGATTGATCACTGTCTTGTGCTAGCACTAGCCTGATTGTACATACAGTAAATACTGCACATTGTGCTGGCCATAGTCTACACCTGTGTAATACAAATGCTCTCTAGCCCCTTGCTCCTGGCATGTTAGTCGCCTCTTACACCACACATGGCTTATGGAGGAAGAATTCTATTCCACTTCCTCATGGAGTGAACATGAAATAAACAAGAATAAGAACTAATAAGAAAATAGAAGAAAACCCAAAGGGGTGTGTATATATATATATACTTATACATGCACGTGTAGTGTGACCTAAGTACCAGCAATCCTACCATCATGTAAAACAATTACAGGCTTTTGTTTTACACTCACTTGGCAGGATGGTAGTACCTCCCTGGGCGGTTGCTGTCTACCAACCTGCTACCTATATTGTGTACCAGTTATCAGTATATAAAGTATGCCCCTTACCAGATATGGTTCCATCATTGTTCTCAACACATCACCTGAGATATTCAATAACTTCCTGGTATCTTCCAGTGTATTACTTCTAGTGTATAAAGTTATATCCAATACAAGACGACTGTCACAGTCACAAAGTACAAGCAATTTGATACCGAAGTGTTTCCTCTTGCTCGGTATATACTGCCTGAACAACAGTCTACCTTTGAACAAAATCAGAGACTCATCAATAACAAGCTTCCTGAAAGGGTAAAAATACATATTGAACTTTTGTTTCAGATCCATAAATACATTCCTATTATAAAACCTGTTGTTTCTGTCCGACCTTGTTTTGTCTTAGAAATGTAGCATATGTAATAGGATAAATATGTTAACTGGAACAATATCACTGAAGGCCGGGGTAGAAATTAGGTAGTCTGTGGACCTGTATGATTTGATATTATGCTTATACCCATGTGGCATAAGTATTATTGTGGCAAAAAACAAATACATCTCAGCCACAGTTGTTTCCTTCCACCAGCGGAGTCTTGACTGTGGTGGATCATTACTTTTATGACTCGCTCGTCATGAGTTCAATCCCCGCCTGTGGTATGGTTTGTGAAATCATTGTATATGCCATGGTATAATCAATGTAGCTGTTACTTTCCCTGACAATAATTTCCATCAGGGGCTGGTCAAAAATGAGTTCAGAGAATTTCAGTTCACTTGCAGTGTTCCCAAGGGTACAATTTGGCAGGATCCCAATGTGATTGTCGTCAAATTGATAGGGGCTGGACACAAAATTTGCATTTTGCTGCCAATCCCAGATGCGGTCTATTGGTGGGTACTGGATATTAGTAGCTGGTTGTGGTTGTAGTCATGGTTGTGCAGGTTGTGTTGTGGGGGGTGGTTGAGGATGCCCTGGATCGTGGATGTGCTGAGTCAGCGGCATGGCTCCTAGCCTGGGGTGCTGCTGGTGCTGCACCACCACCACCTGACGCATACGGTCTATTATCCATCCCTGTTGTAGCAACATCATTGTCACTTTCACTGTTCCTAGTGTAGGGTCACAGGATGTATTCCGTTCCCTTGGAGGTACATATGGCACATTACCAGACCATATGTGGCGTTATATACTACACCGACGCTTCACTGGAGAATATTCTTCCTTACTGTCACTACTTGAATGGCCATCAAGAGCAATAAAATCAATGTCCACATCAGTGTCATCACCATTGCTCACATCTGAGGCCTAGCCACTGGAAAATATAAGCTTATGTTTACAGCGAGGTACAACTGACCCAGGTGGACAAGCACCATAGGTGGAAGATTGAGGGTCGTCAGGATTTTTGGCACTATTTTCGATATCCTGAGTGTTGCTTTTGGTTACAAATTGTTCAGATCCATAAATTCCTCTTCACGTCCATTTTAATCCGTGGAAGAATTGTCACTTAGGAAGAGATTTCCAGTTCGACAGCGAGTGAATGTTTTGCTACGTCGAGGCATGGTGAGCAAAGTGTACTGAGATAGCATTTCCTTAATGCAATGCTGGCATCCTGATTTTTTGTTTACTGTGCACACAAACCATGCAGACCTATTCTCTTAGATGTAGGCCTATAAGCCTTCACGCGCTTAATTTAAAGCTGCTAGAATTTTGGGTACTACTATGGCACGGAGACTGACCTCAAGGCTGTAGTACTACAGCACGAACACTGACCTCAAGGCTGTAGTACTACAGCACGAACACTGACCTCAAGGCTGTAGTACTACAGCACGAACACTGACCTCAAGGCTGTAGTACTACAGCACGAACACTGACCTCAAGGCTGTAGTACTACAGCACGAACACTGACCTCAAGGCTGTAGTACTACAGCACGAACACTGACCTCAAGGCTGTAGTACTACAGCACGAACACTGACCTCAAGGCTGTAGTACTACAGCACGAACACTGACCTCAAGGCTGTAGTACTACAGCACGGACGGCAAAGTGGTTAATGACCTTGGTGTAGTAGTAGACTTTAAACCCCATTAACCAACCACCCAGTCTTAATGTTCTTCCCTCAAGTTAACATTACTTTCTTGCCATAGATTCCGCGGAGAACACGCCTTGCGTCGCTACCCATCAGGTGAAGAACGCTGCATCGCTTGTAAACTCTGTGAGGCAATTTGTCCCGCCCAGGTCAGTACTATACTGTAACTGTAATGACTTAGAAATGTGTGTTAATTGTTTTTGATATTGTCACTGCTCTTAATAAAGTTCTTCAGTATTCAGTCAGTTGCCTTATAAAGCTTTTCTTTATACATTCATTTGTCTTTTGAAGACATTGTGGTATATTGACTCCAGTAAACTACAGTAGAGGTATAATAACAGGTATATTAACAGGTATACTGACAGGAACGATATACAGTGGACCCTTGACTAACGATATTAATTGGTACCCGAGAACGAATATCGTTAGTCGAGTTTTTTTAGCGTAGTCAAGGCAAAATGTTAGCGTTAAAATGTATCGCTAGTCGAATTTAACGTTAAAATGAGTCAAGGAATTTACACACTTAAAACTAGGACAATAGAAGAAGGCAAGGCTGATATATATTTTACATGTATTTCTTCTATCTTTCAACGTACAGCCCTATCATTGGATGGGTTGGCCCAGAGAACAAACACGAAGTTATTTCATTTTAAATTATAATTGTACAGTGTTTATACCCCTTGCTCCACGGCATTAGTCCTCTTACCATCACGCTTCAGTAATTCTGTTCCTTTACCCCTGAATAAAGATCATTACTTAACCAAGACTTTGTATAAAGAAGAAAACAGAGAGTTAATATATGCTGTAATTAGGTTCGACCTAAGGAAGTTTAGAAGTGGAAGATCTCTGAACTCATATCAGCACTACAATCCTACCTCATGTAAAAACTATTGTCAGCTTCGTTTACCACTGCTTGCGGAACGTTCGTATCCTCGGGCGCTGCCCTACCAACACTACTGCTAGAAGCCGTATTAAAGTATATCCTTTCACATCAGCCATTCAAAGCCCCATTTTTTTTCAACTAATCCTTGTAAAGGTAACCTACATGCTTTACTGTCAATACCTAAGAAGATTTGTCCTTTCCCCTCGAAAATTTCGACATTAGATAAACAAAAACCTCTTCAGCTACACCATTAGCTTTAAAATTTCTGTTATCCTCAGTTATGTTTATCCACTTTATCACTAGAGGCACGCCATCACCCATCATTAACTGCTACTTCTCACTCACATAGATGTTATACTCCTGGCCGTGCCCAATTATGCCTACCCATCTACTAACTCCAGTACTCTATAGTTTTCTGAAAAATCCATCTTTCACTAAACTTTATTAAGTTACCAAAATTTTCTCTATATGTCCCCATTTTCTTGACAGTGGATATAAACCCAACAATTTCTCTACTACTCCTTCTTTTAAAACTTTCTCTTCTCCTCTACGTTACTTACTATTACGATCGCCACTACCTCTTCTCTTCCTGTACTACAAGTTAATGCATCGAAATCTCTGCTTCCCTCGTCTACTCCATACTTTTTCCCCAATACGTCCTACTTCTTATCTTGTTACTCTATTTTCCTCTCTTTCTCATTTTACTTATTACCAATTCTTTCTACTCTCTCATTAAATTCTCCCTCTTCTTTTACCCTCTGCCTCCTCATTACCTTACTCTCCTTTACAACTCTCCTCACCTCCTTTAACTATCCCTTAACAGTCTCTTTTCTCTGGTTCAAATCCTCTCTCTCTAAATCAATCTTCTCTCTCTCTCTCTCTCCTCTCTTTTTCTCTTCTCTCCTCTCTACTCTCTCTTTCTCTCTCTCTCTTCTCTCTTTTCTACTCTCTTCCCCTTTCTCACTCATTCTCTTCTCTTTTCTCTTCTCTTCTTCTCTCTCTCCTCTTCCTTTTTCTCTCTCTCTCCTCTCTTTCTCTCTCTCTTCTCTCCTCTCTCTTCCCCTCTCTCTTTTCCTCTCTTTCTCTTTCTCTTCTCTCTCTTCCTCTCTTCTCTTCTCTCTCTCTTTCTCTCTCTCTTTCTCTCTCTCTCTTCTTTCTCTCTCTCTTTCTCTCTCTCTCTCTTCTCTCTTCTCTCTTTCTCTCTCTCTCTCTTTCCTCTCATCTTTCTCTTTCTCTTCTCTCTCTCTCTTTCTCTCTTTCTCTTCTTCTCTCTCTCTTCTTCTCTCTCTTTCTCTCCTCTTCTTCTCTCTCTCTCTTTCTCTCTCTCCTCTTCTCTCTCTCTCTCTCTCTCTCTCTCTCTTTCTCTCTCTCTTCTCTCTCTCTTTCTCTCTCTCTTTCTCTCTCTCTTTTCTCTCTCTTTCTCTCTCTCTTCTCTCTCTCTCTTTCCCCTCTTCTTTCTCTCTTCTCTCTCTCTCTCTCTCTCTCTCTTCTCTCTCTCTCTTTCTTCCCCTCTTCTCTCTCTCTCTCTCTCCTCTCTCTCCTCTCTCTCTCTCTTCTCTCTCTTTCTCTTTCTTCTCTTCTCTCTTTTCTCTCCCCTTCTCTCTCTTTCTCTCTCTCTCTTTCTCTCTCTCTCTCTCTCCTCTCTTCTCTCTTCTCCCTCTCTTCTCTTTTCTTCTCTCTCTTCTCTCTCTCTCTCTCTTTCTTCTTCCTCTCTCTTCTCTCTCTTCTTCTCTCTCTCTCTCTTCTCTCCCCTTCTCTTCTCTCTCTTCTTTCTCTCCTCCTTTCTCTCTCTCTTTCTCTCTCTCCTTTCTCTCTCTCTTTCTCTTCTCTCCTTCTCTCTTCTTTCCTCTCTCTCTTTCTCTCTCTCTTTCTCTCTCTCTCTCTCTCTCTCTCTCTCTCTCTCTCTCTCTCTCTCTCTCTCTCTCCACATGCATGTATATACACACACCCTTCTGGCTGTTCTTCTATTTTCTTACTAGTTCTTGTTTATTTTCTCTTCTCTCCACGGGGAAGTGGAACAAAATTCTTCCTCCGTAAGATGTGTGTCTTAAGAGGCGACTAACATGCCGGGAGCAAGGGGCTAGTAACACCTTCTCCTGTACAAATTACTAAATTTAAAAGGAGAAACTTTCATTTTTCCTTTTGGGCCGCTCCGCCTCGGTGGGATACGCCCAGTTTGTTGAAAGAATACAGTGGACCCCCGCATAACGATTACCTCCGAATGCGACCAATTATGTAAGTGTATTTATGTAAGTGCGTTTGTACGTGTATGTTTGGGAGTCTGAAATGGACTAATCTACTTCACAATATTCCTTATGGGAACAAATTCGGTCAGTACTGGCACCTGAACATACTACTGGATTGAAAAAATATCGTTAACCGGGGGTCCACTGTATGTCATTGATGTCTATATGAGTTGTATCATGTACTTGTACAAATTAACTATTCTTCTTTCTTTCAACAAACCGGCTGTATCCCACCAAAGCCGGGCGGCCCAAAAAAGAAAAACGAAAGTTTCTTAATTAACTATTATTATTATTATTATTACAGTGGTACCCCGAGTTTCGAACAGTTCCCAACTCTACCAATTATGTAAGTGTATTATTGTAAGTGCTTTTGTAAGTGTATTTTTGGGGTCTCAAACTGACTTAATCTAATTTTTGTCATTCCTTATGGGAACATATTTGTTCTTTAATGCACTAACAGCCTTCTGGAACAAAGAAAGTTTGAAACTTGGGGTACTACCGTATCATTATTATTATTATTAAAGCTCAAAATTGATGATGGCTTCTTCACCCTACATCAACATCATTGTGCTCTCTCTCTCTCTCTCTATCTATATCTCTATCTGTGTGTGTGTGTGTGTGTGTGTGATAAGATAAGATAAGATTTCGTTCGGATTTTTAACCCCGGAGGGTTAGCCACCCAGGATAACCCAAGAAAGTCAGTGCGTCATCGAGGACTGTCTAACTTATTTCCATTGGGGTCCTTAATCTTGTCCCCCAGGATGCGACCCACACCAGTCGACTAACACCCAGGTACCTATTTGCTGCTAGGTGAACAGGACAACAGGTGTAAGGAAACGTGTCGAAATGTTTCCACCCGCCAGGAATCGAACCCGGGCCCTCCGTGTGTGAAGCGGGAGCTTTAGCCACCAGGCCACCGGGCCTGTGTGTGTGTGTGTGTGTGTGTGTGTGTGTGTGTGTGTGTGTGTGTGTGTGTGTGTGTGTGTGTGTGCGCGCGTGTGCGTGTGTGTGCGTGTGTGTGTGTGTGTGTACTCACCTATTTGCTCACCTATTTGTGGTTGCAGGGGTCGAGTCACAGCTCCTGGCCCCGCCTCTTCGCTGATTGCTACTAGGTCCTCTCTCTCCCTGCCCCATGAGCTCTATCATACCTCGCCTTAAAACTATGTATGGTTCCTGCCTCCACTACATCCCTTTCTAGGCTATTCCATGGCCTGACTACTCTATGACTGAAGAAATACTTCCTAACATCCCTTTGATTCATCTGAGTCTTCAACTTCCAATTGTGACCTCTTGTGTCTGTGTCCCATCTCTGGAACATCCTGTCTTTGTCCACCTTGTCTATTCTGCGCAGTATTTTATATGTCGTTATCATGTCTCCCCTGACCCTCCTGTCCTCCAGTGTCGTCAGGCCGATTTCCCTCAACCTTTCTTCGTAGGACAATCCCCGTAGCTCTGGACTAGTCTTGTTGCAAACCTTTGCACTTTCTCTAATTTCTTGACGTGCTTGACTAGGTGTGGATTCCAAACTGGTGCTGCATACTCCAGTATGGGCCTGACGTAGATGGTATACAGAGTCTTAAACGAATCCTTACTGAGGTATCGGAACGCTATCCGTAGGTTTGCCAGGCGCCCGTATGCTGCAGCAGTTATCTGATTGATGTGTGCCTCAGGAGATATGCTCGGTGTTATACTCACCCCCAGATCTTTTTCCTTGAGTGAGGTTTGCAGTCTTTGGCCATCTAAACTATATTGTGTCTGCGGTCTTCTTTGCCCTTCCCCAGTCTTCATGACTTTGCATTTGGCAGGGTTAAATTCAAGGAGCCAGTTGCTGGACCAGGCTTGTAGCCTGTCCAGGTCTCTTTGTAGTCCTGCCTGATCCTCGTCCGATTTGATTCTTCTCATTAACTTCACATCATCTGCAAACAAGGACACTTCTGAGTCTATCCCTTCCGTTATGTCGTTCACATATACCAAGAACAGAACAGGTCCTAGGACTGACCCTGTGGAACCCCGCTTGTCACAGGCGCCCACTCTGACACCTCGTCGCGTACCATGACTCGTTGTTGCCTCCCTGTCAGATATTCTCTGATCCATTGCAGTGCCTTTCCTGTTATGTGTGCCTGATCCTCTAGCTTTTGCAGTAACCTCTTGTGAGGAACTGTGTCGAAGGCCTTCTTGCAGTCCAAAAATATGCAGTCGATCCACCCCTCTCTCTCTTATCTTACTTCTGTCACCTTGTCATAAAACTCTAGTAGGTTTGTGACACAGGATTTTCCTTCCCTGAAACTGTGCTGGTTGTCAATTATACACTTGTTTCTTTCCAGGTGCCCCACCACTCTCCTCCTGATGATCTTCTCCATTACCTTGCATACTATACACGTTAGTGATACAGGTCTGTAGTTTAGTGCCTCATGTCTGTCTCCCTTTTTAAAAATTGGGACTACATTTGCCATTTTCCATACCTCAGGAGTTGCCCAGTTTCAAATGATGTGTTGAAGATCTTTGTTAATGGCTCACACAATATCTCTGCACCCTCTTTAAGGACCCATGGAGAGATGTTGTCTGGTCCCACCGCCTTGGAGGTGTCAAGTTCGCATAGCAGCTTCTTCACCTCCTCCTTGGTTATATGTACCTCATCCAGCACTTGCTGGTGTGCCTCCCAGTTTTGATTTCTTGGAGTCCTACTGGTTTCCACTGTAAATACCTCTTTAAATCTTGTGTTGAGCTCCTGACAAACCTCTCGGTCGTTTCTTGTGAATTCCCCATCACCCTTCCTTAGTCTGATTACCTGGTCCTTGACTGTTGTTTTCCTCGTGATGTGGCTGTACAACAGCTTCGGGTCAGTCTTTACTTTTGATGCTATGTCATTTTCATATTGTCTCTGAGCCTCCCTTCTTATCTGTGCATATTCGTTTCTGGCTCTTCGGCTGATTTCTTTATTTTCCTGAGTTCTCTGTCTTCTGTACCTTTTCCATTCTCTAGTACACCTAGTTTTTGCCTCCCTACACCTTTGGGCGAACCAAGGACTCGTTCTGTTCTTCCCATTATTTCTGTTTCCCTTGGGAACAAACCTCTCCTCTGCCTCCTTGCATTTTGTTGCTACATAGTCCATCATTTCTTGTACTGGTTTTCCTGTCAGTTCCCTCTCCCACTGAATGTCTTGAAGGAAGTTCCTCATGCCTGAGTAGTTACCCCTTTTGTAGTTTGGTTTTTCCCAGCGTATTCCTGCTACTCTCTCCACTTGGAGCTCAACTATGTAGTCGAAGCACAGAACCACATGATCACTAGCTCCCAGGGGCCTTTCATACATGATACCCTCGATGTCCGAACTACTCATGGTGAATACAAGGTCCAGCCTTGCTGGTTCATTCTCTCCTCTCTCTCTGGTAGTGTCTCTAACATGTTGATGCATGAGGTTTTCCAGTACCACATCCATCATCTTGGCTCTCCATGTTTTGGGACCCCCATGGGGCTCCAGGTTTTCCCAGTCAATCTCCTTGTGATTGAAATCACCCATAACTAGTAACTTTGCTCCCCCCATGTGTGCTCTCCTGGCCACCTCGGCTAGTGTGTCGATCATTGCTCTGTTGCTCTCATCGTATTCTTCTCTTGGCCTCCTGCAGTTCTGTGGTGGGTTGTACATTACTGCAATTATCACCTTATGTCCCTCAGACTGGATTGTTCCTACTAAGTAGTCCCTTTCGCCCGTGCCATCCATTCCTTCCATTTTCTCAAAACCCCACTGGTTTTTAATGAGCAGTGCAACTCCTCCTCCCCCTCTCCTCCCTCTGTCTTTCCTGAGGATTTGATATCCGGATGGAAAGATTGAATCTGTTATTATTCTGGTGAGTTTTGTTTCTGTGAGTGCTATTATGTCTGGGGATGTCTCTTTGATTCTTTCGTGCCACTCCTCATACTTGTTTGTTATTCCATCTGCATTTGTATGCCACACCTTCAACTTCTTTTCTAAGACTGTGGTCTGGGAGGTATATTGGGGTTGGGGAAGTGGGAGACCTGGTAAGGAACTATGGGTTGTTGCTGTGGGGGTGGAGTTTGTAATGTAGTGGGTGGGGGCATTGGATGTGGCATGGGTGTTTTGATTTAGAGTGTTTGGTTGCACTGGGGTTGACCTGGTTGGGAGGCTTCTATAGGAAGTTGTGAGGGAGGCTGTATTTGATCTTCTTCCTGGGTCTGGGATCTTCTGTCTGTCTTCTCCATCCCCTCTCTTTCCTCCTTTCGCCTCTGTACCATCTCTCAGTTTCTGCCTTTCTTCTTGTGTTCTGTCGCGGTCGAGATACACCTTCCTGTGTGTGCGTGTGTGTGTGTTAGTTACCATTTGGTCCTAGGCACATGTCGATTAGACACTAGGCCTGTTGTATGTGCATGCGCGTGCGTGTGTGTGTGTGTGTGTGTGTGTGTGTGTATGTGTGTGTGTGTGTGTGTGTGTGTGTGTGTTGTGTGTGTGTGTTGTGTGTGTGTTGTGTGTGTGTTGTGTGTGTGTTGTGTGTGTGTGTGTGTTGTGTGTGTGTGTTGTGTGTGTGTGTGTTGTGTGTGTGTGTTGTGTGTGTGTGTGTTGTGTGTGTGTGTTGTGTGTGTGTGTGTGTGTGTGTGTGTGTGTGTGTGTGTGTGTGCGCACATCCTCTTATTTTGAAAGCATTTTTATTGTTATGAAACGTACAAGTAGGGAACAGGATGACATTGGAGCCATCTGTGGGTGAGCTGTGGGCCAGTATTTTCATCTGATCAACCGACTTTATCTTGTTGACATCATAATACTGTACGAATGTGTTCCAGACTCGAGTCATCCTGGAGATAAATGATCTCAGATGAAGTGATGTTCTGGAGAAGGGTACAGCCAGAGTGAAGTTGCTACTGGCTGCCCGTCTTGTGGTATAGAAGCTTGCTTCACGCTGTCCTCGAAGTGGATCCAAGTGTGGTGCTTTGACAATGTTGGTCTTGTACATAACAGTAAGGCCACCCACATCCCTCCTGTGTTGAAGGCTCTGCTGACATGACGGATCTATCCAGGATGGGTCACTCTCTCACTCTCTCTCACTCACTCTCACTTTCTCACTCTGTCTCACTCTTTCCTTACATTATGATCTACATAATATTCTCACTACAGTGGACCCCCGGTTTATGATATTATTTCATTCCAGAAGTATGTTCAGGTGCCAGTACTGAACGAATTTGTTCCCATAAGGAATATTGTGAAGTAGATTAGTCCATTTCAGACCCCCAAACATACACATACAAACGCACTTACATAAATACACTTACATAATGGGTCGCATTGGGAGGTGATCGTAAAGCGGGGGTCCACTGTACTGTTGTTTTCCACACTGCTCGCATTATTTCATAAATTCATTCTACAGAACTAGAAAAGAAACTTGAGCACTTTATTTCCAACAACTCTTGGTCCAAATTCTCCCTGACTGACTGATACTTTAATTTTAATTGAGTTCGTGTTAAGCACCTGAGCCTTGCGGTCATTGAGCACCTGAGCCGTGTGGTCATTGAGCACCTGAGCCGTGTGGTCATTGAGCACCTGAGCCGTGTGGACATTGAGCACCTGAGCCGTGTGGTCATTGAGCACCTGAGCCATGTGGTCATTGAGCACCAAACATTGTGCGGGGGCTTGATCCTCCATCTGTTGAGCACCAGAGAGACCGTCTTCTGTCGAAGATAATGAACAATGGCTCAATTGAAAGCCAAGAGAAGTGTGGAACACTGAAAATGACATGTACTGGGGCCCTCCTGTACTTCACCTGTCCATCGTGCTGCCACTGACATAATTACATCCCTTTATTCCTGCTGTCACTGTTGATCTCACACTCCTGACCTGTCAACTTTTCCTGGTGCTGTAATTCCTGTTGTTGATAGCCTGTTGTTGTCTGCCATCGCCACCACCGCATTACCACCTCTGCCACTATTGTATTACTGTCCACCACTACCTCTACCACCACAACTACTACTCCTTTCACTTGTTTTGCCGGTCCCTTCCTCTGGTATATATAGTGGCATCTTCCCTTCTCACTGCAGTGTGACTAGTCAGTGGTCACACCCAATATACCTGGCAGTATACCTCAGTATACCTGCCAGGTATACTGAGGTATACTGCCAGGTATACTGAGGAATACTGTATATGCTTCAGGCTATCACCATTGAGGCTGAGGAGAGGAAAGACGGCGCCAGACGTACGACGAGGTACGACATTGACATGACCAAGTGTATATATTGTGGCTTCTGCCAGGAGGCATGTCCAGTGGATGCTATTGTTGAGGTGAGTGTATTGGCATGTCCAGTGATGTTATTATTGAAGTGAGTGCAGTGACATGTCCAGTGATGTTATTATTGAAGTGAGTGTAGTGACATGTCCAGGGGATGCTGTTGTTGAGATGAGTGTAGTGACATTTCCAGTGTTTTTATTGTTGAGGTGAGTGTAGTGACATGTCCAGTGTTGTTATTGTTGAGGTGGGTGTAGTGACATGTCCAGTGATGTTGTTATTGAGGTGAGTGTAGTGACATGTCCAGTGGATGCTATTGTTGAGACGAGTGTAGTGACATGTCCAGTGTTGTTATTGTTGAGGTGAGTGTAGTGACATATCCAGTGATATTATTATTGAGGTGAGCATATTGACATGTCCAGTGAATGCTTTTGTTGAGATGAGTGTAGTGACATGTCATTAAACACCTCATAGTGACCTTGTTTCTTAACATTAGTGAGATACGAGAACAGTATAGTAACACTAGTGTCGCATTGTATTGCAGGGTCCCAACTTTGAGTTCTCAACAGAGACACACGAGGAGCTGCTCTACAACAAGGAGAAACTACTGAGTAACGGTGACAAGTGGGAACCGGAGATAGCTGCTAACATCGCTGCTGACCACCTGTACCGCTAGCAGCATTTTCACATGTCTTAGATGTCTCAAAGTACCTTTGAAAAGGCATCAAACTCTCCATCTTTCAAAGCTTGAAAATGCGTGAGAATCCCCTTGAAAAGTTTGACGTCAGACTGATGTTGCAATTTTGAGGTGTCAAACCTCTTTCAAAATGAAGCGGACTGCGTTAGAAATGTTAGACATCTTTGAAAATACGTCAAACTGCTTTTGAAAAGTTGAACACATTCTGAAATGAATGAAATATTCATCACCTAAAATAAGGCAAATGTTCAACATCTAAAATACATTAAATGTTCAACACCTTCTAAATTTGTAGATGAATGGTTCAGAGAACCGACATGTTGATAAATTAGACACATGTGCAACTCTTGGGTATCTTTATCGAGGAAACGTTTCGCCACACAGTGGCTTCATCAGTCCATACATAGGAGAAACTTGAAGAACAGGAGGAGAATGAGGTAATCAGTCCCTCAACCTTGAGTCGATGTGTTCAGTCCATCAATCTTGAGTAGAATACGGCAGATGAGCGGAGAAGCAGCTGCTTCTCCGCTCATCTGCCGTATTCTACTCAAGATTGATGGACTGAACACATCGACCCTCCTGCCATACGGTTTATAAGCTGCTTCTCCGCTCATCTGCCGTATTCTACTCAAGATTGATGGACTGAACACATCGACTCAAGGTTGAGGGACTGATTACCTCATTCTCCTCCTGTTCTTCAAGTTTCTCCTATGTATGGACTGATGAAGCCACTGTGTGGCGAAACGTTTCCTCGATAAAGATACCCAAGAGTTGCACATGTGTCTAATTTATCAACACCTTCTAAATTACATCAAACTACCTTAGAAACTTTGAAAATATTTATGTTGTAGACTTTGAAGAAACAGTTTTAGCAGATGTTACTCAACTTTGCTGTACTGGTAATAAATTATAATAATATTTATGTGTTATATGCAGTGGGTTCTCTTATAAAGTTTATATACAGTGGATTTTCTTATTAAGCTCCTCTACACTCAGTTCTTAAGAGAAGTGACTGTATATAAGAGATCTTTATAAGAGAAGTGACTGTACGTTAAGGTGAGGAAGGTGTTGGAACCTATGGTAAGGGAATTATTTGATGCTTCACTCTAAGAGTGTATTAAACTATGTCTTGTAAATATATATATATATATGCCTTGACTTTTGTGCACTAATTATTTACCCTATTGGTTTTCAGCCTGTTTGGATAATGTCAAGGTTGAGTGAGTTCAAGAGAAAATGCAATTCTGAAAATATAATGAGCACTGTGGTAGACCTGCTGCCCCATGCTAGGCAGGTTCAAGTCACACACGCTTTGCCCTTAAGCCAGCTTATACAAAGATCTATGTTATTGACACCAGGGTCCCTCATGAAGGTCGATGTTACTGACACCAGGGTCCCTCATGAAGGTCGATGTTACTGACACCAGGGTCCCTCATGAAGGTCGATGTTACTGACACCAGGGTCCCTCACACAGATCTATGTTACTGACACTAGGGTCCCTCACACAGATCTATGTTACTGACACCAGAGTCCCTCACACAGATCTATGTTACTGACACCAGGGTCCCTCATGTAGGTCGATGTTACTGACACCAGGGTTCCTCATGTAGGTCGATGTTACTGACACCAGGGTCCCTCATGTAGGTCGATGTTACTGACACCAGGGTCCCTCACACAGATCTATGTTACTGACACCAGGGTCCCTCACACAGATCTATGTTACTGACACCAGGGTCCCTCACACAGATCTATGTTACTGACACCAGGGTCTCTCACACAGATCTATGTTACTGACACCAGGGTCCCTCACACAGATGTATGTTACTGACACCAGGGTCCCTTGCACAGATGTATGTTACTGACACCAGGGTCCCTCACACAGATGTATGTTACTGACACCAGGGTCCCTCGCACAGATGTACAGTGGACCCCCGGTTAACGATATTTTTTCACTCCAGAAGTATGTTCAGGTGCCAGTACTGACCGAATTTGTTCCCATAAGGAATATTGTGAAGTAGATTAGTCCATTTCAGACCCCCAAACATACACGTACAAACGCACTTACATAAATACACTTACATAATTGGTCGCATTCGGAGGTAATCGTTATGCGGGGGTCCACTGTATGTTACTGACACCAGGGTCCCTCGCACAGATGTATGTTACTGACACCAGGGTCCCTCGCACAGATGTATGTTACTGACACCAGGGTCCCTCACACAGATGTATGTTACTGACACCAGGGTCCCTCGCACAGATGTATGTTACTGACACCAGGGTCCCTCACACAGATGTATGTTACTGACACCAGGGTCCCTCGCACAGATGTATGTTACTGACACCAGGGTCCCTCACACAGATGTATGTTACTGACACCAGGGTCCCTCACACAGATGTATGATACTGACACCAGGGTCCCTCACACAGATGTATGTTACTGACACCAGGGTCCCTCACACAGATGTATGTTACTGACACCAGGGTCCCTCACACAGATGTATGTTACTGACACCAGGGTCCCTCACACAGATGTATGATACTGACACCAGGGTCCCTCACACAGATATATGTTACTGACACCAGGGTCCCTTGCACAGATGTATGTTACTGACACCAGGGTCCCTCACACAGATGTATGTTACTGACACCAGGGTCCCTCACACAGATGTATGTTACTGACACCAGGGTCCCTCACACAGATGTATGTTACTGACACCAGGTCCCTCACACAGATGAAATGTTACTGACACCAGGGTCCCTCGCACAGATGTATGTTACTGACACCAGGGTCCCTCACACAGATGTATGTTACTGACACCAGGGTCCCTCACACAGATGTATGTTACTGACACCAGGGTCCCTCGCACAGATGTATATTACTGACACCAGGGTCCCTCACACAGATGTATGATACTGACACCAGGGTCCCTCACACAGATGTATGTTACTGACACCAGGGTCCCTCACACAGATTATGTTACTGACACCAGGTCCCTCGCACAGATGTATGTTACTGACACCAGGGTCCCTCACACAGATGTATGATACTGACACCAGGGTCCCTCACACAGATGTATGTTACTGACACCAGGGTCCCTCACACAGATGTATGTTACTGACACCAGGGTCCCTCACACAGATGTATTTTTACTGGACACCAGGGTCCCTCACACAGATGTATGATACTGACACCAGGGTCCCTCACACAGATATATGTTACTGACACCAGGGTCCCTCACACAGATGTATTTTTACTGACACCAGGGTCCCTCACACAGATGTATGTTACTGACACCAGGGTCCCTCACACAGATGTATGTTACTGACACCAGGGTCCCTCACACAGATGTATGTTACTGACACCAGGGTCCCTCACACAGATGTATGTTACTGACACCAGGGTCCCTCACACAGATATATGTTACTGACACCAGGGTCCCTCACACAGATGTATGTTACTGACACCAGGGTCCCTCGCACAGATGTACAGTGGACCCCCGGTTAACGATATTTTTTCACTCCAGAAGTATGTTCAGGTGCCAGTACTGACCGAATTTGTTCCCATAAGGAATATTGTGAAGTAGATTAGTCCATTTCAGACCCCCAAACATACACATACAAACGCACTTACATAAATACACTTACATAATTGGTCGCATTCGGAGGTAATCGTTATGCGGGGGTCCACTGTATGTTACTGACACCAGGGTCCCTCGCACAGATGTATGTTACTGACACCAGGGTCCCTCACACAGATGTATTTTTACTGACACCAGGGTCCCTCACACAGATGTATGTTACTGACACCAGGGTCCCTCACACAGATTTTATGTTACTGACACCAGGGTCCCTCACACAGATGTATGTTACTGACACCAGGTCCCTCACACAGATGTATGTTACTGACAACCGGGGTCCCTCACACAGATGTATGTTACTGACACCAGGGTCCCTCACACAGATGTATGTTACTGACACCAGGGTCCCTCACACAGATGTATGTTACTGACACCAGGGTCCCTCACACAGATATATGTTACTGACACCAGGGTCCCTCACACAGATATATGTTACTGACACCAGGGTCTCTCACACAGATGTACGTTACTGACACCAGGGTCCCTCACATGAGCTCAACTCACCTAGATAAGTGGTGAGTGGTAAATATTGTGTTAGATATGAACGTTGTGTGGTGAGCGTGCACAATATAATATAAATCCTGCCCCCACGCACTGCATGATGGGAAAAACAAAACTGTGACAGAGATAGAAACAGACAATAAGAAAGGGAGGGAGAGACAAAGATGGAAAGAGACAAAAGGAGAGGGATGGGGACATAGAAAGAGAGAGAGTAGAGTGAAATTGTTCAAGTTGAAGGTAAGAGATGAGTAAGTACTGTGAGTAAACATCAGTTGTGTCAACACTGAGACACACTTTAAGTTTCAGTACTAGATGACGTTACATTCATTAATATAGCACTTAACAAAGAAAATGTATGTTGTATACATGGTGTATACACGGTGTATACCTGGTGTATACACAGTGTATACCTGGTGTATACATGGTGTATACATGGTGTATACCTGGTGTATACACGGTGTATACCTGGTGTGTATACGTCGTGCCGAATAAACAAAACTTGCAATTTTGACTTAAATAGCAACGCTCTTCTTGTCAAATAAGGCAAGCAAAAATTTGTATATGCAATAATTTTGCAAAAATCATTCTGAACCTAACGAAAAAAATATTTTTCATTGTGTTTATTGTAAAATGATTATAAACTTATCCGAAATATATTTACGTAGTTGGATTAGGCTAAATTAAATTGTGCTTGTTATAATAAGGTTAGGAAAGTTTTCTAATTTTTTTTTTGGTACAAAATCATTGATTTTTAAAGAATTAACATAAATGAAAAATATATCTTTAAACGTATAAGAGAAAAATTTTAGAAAGGACACCCCTCAAGGAAGGTTTCTTGATGTTGGTGAGGGGCTCTTGATCTAGGGAATTGGATCTGTGCTCCAGTTCCCCGAATTAAGCCTGAATGCCTTCCACATCCCCCCCCCAGGCGCTGTATAATCCTCCGGGTTTAGCGCTTCCCCCTTGATTATAATAATAATAATAATTTAGAAAGGACTTAATTTTAAATGAGTTCTTGCTAATTGACCAGTTTTACCTATTCAGCACCACATATTCATAATAATAATAATAATCTTTATTTCTACCAGTACATGTACAAGGTATACAGACCATAGCTGACATCACTGACATACTACTACAGTGGACCCCCGCATAACGATCACCTCTGAATGCGACCAATTATGTAAGTGTATTTATGTAAGTGCGTTTGTACGTGTATGTTTGGGGGTCTGAAATGGACTAATCTACTTCACAATATTCCTTATGGGAACAAATTCGGTCAGTACTGGCACCTGAACATACTTCTGGAGTGAAAAAATATCGTTAACCGGGGGTCCACTGTATATAGAAAGCTGCTTGTTATGCAGAGCATTTACCTGGAGAGGGTTTCGGGGGTCAACACCCCCATGGCCCGGTCTGTGACCAGGCCTCATGATGGATCAGGGCCAATAAACCAGGATGTTACTGTTGGCCGCATGCAACCCAATGTATGAACCACAGTCCGGCTGGTCAGGTAATGACTTTGTGTGCCTGTCCAGCGCCTTCTTGAAGACAGCCAGTGGGGTCTATTGGTAATCTCCCTTATGTATGCTAAGAGGCAGTTGAACAGTCTTGTGCTCCTGAAACTTATTCTGTTGTCTCTTATCATGCTTTTCACTGAGGGTGTGTGTTTATAGATCTAGTTTATAGATTTTTGGCCTTAAGAATGATTTAGGTAGGCTTGAATCATTAGTAAATAACATTAGAATCAATAATACACCTACCATCCGACTTACGACTGAGTTCGGTTCCCAGAAAACCGGTCGTAAGTCGAAATGTCGTAAGTCGAACTTTAGTACTGAATATCAACAAAACATTTTTGTAATGACTATTTTATTGTTTTATTTTGGTATTTCATGTTTTTACTTTTCTTTTTAGTTGTTAGTATTGTAATTTATACTGTAAGGTTTAGGATAAAACACTGTGTACTGTACAACACAAATACTTGTTTATTTCCCAGAAATTTGGCAAAAAAAACAC